TAATTTTTTAGTTATTGTATTAGCTATCGCGTAATATAGTCCTTCACGTGATGTTAGCTCGGGACCGACGATCGTTCGCCGATGAAGTCATCAAAAATTTTTGTGAAATTTCGGAAAAAAGTTTGAGAAGAATGCCTGAAAGAAAAGTTATTAAGAGTATAACCGATTACAAAGAAAATGAATGGGAAAACAGGAAGTTCGAAACGAACCAATCAAAGCATTCTTTGAATCCGAACAACGATTGGAGTCCTTTGAATATACAAGAGGCGAAAATACCTGTCTACTTTCAAAAGCAAATATCCCCAATTTTTGATATTGATGAAATTGAAGGGTGGGGTGAACCTCCTCGAAATCCTATTTCTTGGAATGATTCTCACCAAGGTTATTGCAAAGAATTAATTGAAGAACAAAAGAAAACTACTTTTTGGGCTATACAAAATGGAGTTTGGGTTAACGTAAGTGAAGAGACGGAGACGAAGGTTTCGGAGAGAATCAGTAATAATATTCGAAATAACATCATAAAACGTGGTGAAATATGGGATAAAATTAAAAAACAAACAAGAAGTTATTATGACTTTAGAAATGAAGAGAATAGAAAAGCTGCCGATTTCATTTACGGTGATTGTATTAAATTTAAATATTTTTATTTATTATTTATATTTATTTTTATATATGTATATATATATTTATTTATATATATATATTTATTTATTTATTTATTTTATAAATATAGAAGGTTCTAAAGTACGCGTTGAACGGCATAAAGAAGAAGAGAATGATCTCATTAATTTCGATCTTTCTGACATTTCGGATTCAAAAAATTCTTCAGATGGAACAAATAAAACACATGAGACAACCGAAGTACATTTGAATAATCTTTTGCAAGAAGATCTTATAGACCTAAGAGACGAAAAAATTCAGAATACATTAAATTCTGAATATAATTCTGATATTAAGAAAGAAGGACCGATTAAAATAAAAGAACAAATTAAGGAAGAAGAGCTGATTAAAATAGAAGAACCAATTAAGAAAGTAGAACCAATTAAGGAAGAGCTGTTAATAGATTTAGATTTCGATACTAGTGTAACAGATGCTCCCAGTTATAATTCAATTTTCCCAAACAGCAAGGAATTGAATGATATTTTTTCTCTGATGCCTAAGAGTTCCGTAATTGAGAATAAAGATTTACTTTTATTCGATAATGAAGATTCAGATCCAGCCAAATCATTCTCAATTTCAAATTCAAAGAGTTCAAAGGATTTTCGATTTACTATTGAGACAAAAGAATTTGGGTTCCAAGTAATTATTGTAAAACCGGTAAATACTTTATTAATGTTAATTCATTTTTTTT